GGTGGGGTGGGGTGGGGTCCTAGGTTTCCTGTTTGCAGGGCCTCCTGCTGTGATCCTCCATCTCCTTGGCTGAGCTGTGTGTGCTGAGCCGTGCAAGAGCCACCTGCGTTTCTAGACAGTCAGGAACTCTGAGCAGCTGGGAGCCAAATGGTGTCCCTCTCCCTGCTTCAGGTTACACAGGAGCCTGGACACGCGATGCTGTGCGACATCCAGGGGCGCAGGGGGCGCAGCATGCTCTGTGGCCCGGGACGGGTACTCGTCTTCCTCAGCGTCTCCTTGGGGTAGACCCCTCGTTCCGGCCTCTGCTCCCCTCTTGGCGGTTTGGAAATGCCTGCCGTGGGTGCTCACTGGGAACCTGGGTGATGAATGTTTCACCTTCGACAAGTGCCTGTTCCACTCAGAAGGAGTGGGCTCTGCGGGCCCACTCGGAGCTCTGGGCGGGCGCCAGTCCTCACCAGGAGCCCCGGCTCTCACCCAGGAGCCCCCTTGGGGTTTGACTGAACAGTGGTTCGATGTAAAGTGCTTCCGGACAGACAGAATTGCTGATTGATTCTCTCCTGGGCCCCGCCCTGCACTCTGCCTCGCAGCATGTTAATGGGTCCTGGGATTTTTCCAGGTTGCATTTAGAAGAAATAATGGGTTATGGTTACAACTTAGTAACGAGGTCAAGTCACCAAATGGTTGAGTGCACCCAGGTGCCCAGCACAAAAGGATATTAGAAGTCGTCCGAAAGGGTCTTTAGCCTGAGAAAACGACACCCTGATCTGCGTCTCAGCCTCCTGGTAGGAGCAGCGCTGAGCGCTTCCCACCTGCCGGGACCATGCAGGCCCTTTCCTCCGCCGGTCGCCCGTGTGGGATGTGGGCCACTGGCCCCGTTTTGCCAGAGGAGAGCTGTTTTTTGTTGTTTTTGAGTTTTTATCAGAGTGTATTAGAGCCAAACTAATGACGTGTGCCGGGGAACGAGCTCTCTAATGCTGAGAGGAGAGGCTTTGCTGGGCTCGCCTGCCAGCCTGGGAGGCGGCGGAGCTGGATTCGGGTCCCCCTGGCCTGGCCTCCAAGGTCCTGCTGTCCCCACAGTGCAGAGTGACCTCTTGGGTCCCGGAATCTCAGAAGCAGCCGTGTGGGACTGGCCACCTGGAGTAACCGTGTTCTCGGTGTTTAGAGGACTGGGCTGTGCCTGGCATGTCTGGCTCCGTGTCACTTGGTGTATTGAAGACACTCTAGATGCCATTTCACTGTTACTGGGGGACCTGGGGTTCGGGTTTTGTTGAACTGAGCAGTGGATTTTATGGCCCAAGGAGAAACCATTTTTGTCAGCATTCTCCTGGGCTCAGCAGATCCTGGTGGGTTCCTGTCACCGTAGACTGTACAAGAGGGAACAGGAGACGGCTGGAGTCTCTTTGCCGTGACCATTCCAGAGCATTTTGCGTGGGTTTGGAGGCGGGACACTGCCTAGTTGTACTCAGCCCTCTGAGGACAGGACCAGCCGGCCGCCGCTCCCCTGCTCTGCACATGGGCCCGGAGAGAAGGGCCGTCTGGGCGCTTTCGCCAGCAGCCCGCTGGTGAGCTGAGGGCTAGCAGCCGCCGGCCTCCCGCACCTGCCGTGCGCGGTCACAGATCCACAGCGACACTGCCAGTGTTTCTGTGGGTGACACCATTTAGGGTTTGGCAAGCCCCCCGCGGGCTGCGCTCCCGCTCCCTCTCCCTGGGGCCACCCGAGGGACCCGGTCCCTGAGCAGGTGCTCACGGGCTGCCCAGAGGCTCGGCCTTTTCCTTCCCCTCCCCTTCCCCTT